TAAAAGTTCTTTATACTCACTCACTCACTGAATAAAATGAATTTAAACATAATAGTAAATAAGTATTTATGAACTTGTTTTGTGAACTTGTTTTGCTGTTTTTATTTCCATTGATTAATAAATGTTTTTAATACTCACAAACTAAATTAATGCGAATGAAATGAATTTAAACGTAATGGTAAATAAGTATTAATGATCTTGTTTTGTGAACTGTTTTGTTGTTTTTATTTTATTGATTAATAAATGTTCTTTATACTCACAAGCTGAATAAAATGAAGTGTTTATAATCTTGTTTTGCTGTTTTTATTTCTGTTGATTAATAAATGTTCTTTATACTTACTGAATAAAATGAATTTAAACGTAATGGTAAATAAGTATTTATGAACTTGTTTTGTGAACTTGTTTGCTGTTTTTATTTCCATTAAATAATAAATGTTCTTTATACTCACAGACTAAATTAATGCAGATGAAATGAATTTAAACAGCCAATCATACGAAAGTCTGCCTATGAGCTAAAACCCAAAAGAGCAAAACGTTGAAAAAAAAGAAAAAAATTTTAATCAATATAATCATCGCATTAGATGGTTACATAAAATTTTTAGCCACCCTGATCAATAATGTAATTGGTTTCGTCCAATAGAAAATGATATTTGTATTCATCCAATGGGAAGTGGTGGAGAAATTAGTAAACCTGGTTAGCTCAAGTAGGTTTCAGACTTTCAAACATGTTTGCAAACTTTTGGACCAGGCTCAAACCGGACTTGAACCAAGCTAAAAGTTTGATATTCGAACCGGACCGAACTGAGCTTTAAAATAGTTTGAGTTCGGGTCCGGTTCGAATTTCAAACCGGACTCAAACTTGCCTACAGTCCAGCCTCAGTTCGGGTCCGTCGGAGCCCTACTTCTATGCGAAACCACACCTTGTTTTTATGACACATGGCATACCAAGAACCACATCAGAAGGTAATCCACACTTTATGTAGAACTTTTGTATTGCCTTTACACTTTTAACATCAATGTCGACACTATAAATATATCCAATAAATCTATAATCCATACAACTACTATTTATCTTGTTCAAACGTTTCCAAGTAAGCCCTCTCTCTTTAACATACTTCATACTTATTTTATTTATACTCAAACTAACTTTAATTGATGCTTTTGCAAATTCTCCATTAATTTTCACCATTTTTCATACCATTTCATCATTGTCTTTAACCTTTTCTTTTCTTTGCTTTATACTTTGTTCATCACACTTCTTTTTACCAACATCAACACGGCATACTTCCATTAACTTATTATTCAACTATTGTTCATGAACTTGGTCTTTCATATACAGACATGAATGAGCCAAGTGCTCTTTACTTCGACACATGTAACATAAATGCAACCAACTCCTTTTCCATTTCTGCTGAATTGTTCTCAGGTTCTGTATAACCTTTTAATCACTTTTTCAACAATGTTCTTCACCAACATTACTATGTAAATCTCACGTTTCATTCTTCAATTCCATTAATTTACCACCAAGACACTTGAATTTACCAATTGCACATGACACAATCTTTTTAAACTTGCACTTAGCAAGTATAACAAGCTTCAATATGTTACTATGAAAAAACTTTTGTCTTACCAGGTTCTTGTTTCACAGAGTTATCTTAACTACCATGTAATTGCAGGTCTTTACTACCAAACTTTACTCACTTGGCTAATTATGCGATAACTGGAGTATTGTACTAGATACTACTACCACCAATACAATATCACTAAGATACAATTTATTTACTAAGAACAAAGTTTATTGTTTAAATGTTTCTTTCTTATTAAAGACTATTCTATTCATCTCTCTAATCCAAAACTAAGCTAATTACTAGTTCTATTTATATTACATGATGATCAATCATACAATGCATAAGTTACACATACCTAATCTTGACCTATGCTACTAAACATGTATCAACCAAATCTATTATGTCATAATTAGTAAAAAATTTTTTATATATAGACTTAAAATTTTTTTAAAAAATATAATTTTTAGATTGGGTCCAGGTTTCAGAAGATGAGAAAGATATGATATTTAAAGGCTGAGCCAGAATTGGTAATTGGCCATCATCTACAAGGCCAGAGCTTCTAGCGATACTATGTGCGCTTTTGACAGCAATC